CCTGTGCCTGGGGGCAGCAGGCCTCCATCCTCAGGCCAGGATGGTGGGCTGTGCCCTCCCCACTGGGGCACCAGGCAGCCTCCTGGGCCGCGGGTCCAGGTTCTGAACCTGCAGAGCCCAGTGTGCCGGGCTGCCACAGGCCTGCCCCTTCGCCCCTCTGCTGCCCCCCAGGCTGCCCAGTGGCCTCCACCAGCCTCTCCCACCTGGCCTTCCAAGCCTGCCTCCCAGCCCTGGGCTAGGTGGCTCCCCCATGCTGCTACCTTAAAGCAAGTCCCCGGCTCCACAGAGCATGGGCAGGAGTCCTGCTGCACGCCGGGAGAGCGTGCCCTGCGGTGTCCTGCCACCTCTGGTGCCCTTGCCACCGCTGGCCACGTTGCCCTCAGCGAGCAGCTGGAACCTGGAGACTGTTTCTCCGTTGAACCCGTGCTGCTGACTCGTTGGTGGTCGTCTCGTGGCCAGCATCACAGTAGCTGGGCTCAGCCCACGTATCCCGGTAGGTCACTCGGGCTCTGGGGCATCGGCTGTGCTGCGGCTTGTGGTGGGGGCTTGTGGCGGGGGCATTGCAAACAGGAAGGTCCCTTGTACCGCAGGAAAAAGCACTAAAGGGACCATGAGGAGGACGCTCGTCGGGAGGAGAGCTCAACTGGAGGGCAGGGTGGCCTGTCCCCTGCGGGGCGTGCCTCTCGGAACCTCGTGTCCTCCCTGCTCTGCCAAACCCTCAGAGGACACAGAAGTGCACAGTCCTGACCCAACTTGCGAATGAATGTCAGGGGAGAGCCTCAGAATGCGCAGCCCCTGGTGGTCCTGCCCGCCGGCTCCTCCGCAGCCCGCGGTCCTCGCGGGTCCACCCACCCAGCCACCATCGGCCTGTGGCCACCGACCGTCCGTCACGTATCTGTCATGTTTACCCCTCTCCCTGCTGTGCTGCTCTTACCTGGGCCTGCCCTCTCCCAGACGTCCATCGCTGCCAGCCGTCTCTGCCCATGTGCCCTGTCCTGTGTGGTTCAGGCCTGGACACACACACACCCCGCACACCTGGCACACGTGTGTGCACGTGCATTCTTCCCCTCCTGGAAACGGAACCCCGGCCTGTGGAGGCCGAGCGGTGCCCTCCCGCTGAGCGGCGCCCTGTCCTCGTGCCGGTCAGGGTGCACCTAGGTACCCCCAGTGTCACAGGGGCCTCGTGGTCCTGGCGTGGCTGGGAGATTCCTGGCCTGGGCTGCCTGGGGCCCTCTTGGTTTTCACTCTCGGAGTCCAGGTGTGGAGCTCGCAGCCCCCGTCAGGCCACGTCCCCGCTCCCTGAGGAGGCCCCACGGGGGCCCACCCCGGCTCCTGTGGGTGTGGGGGGGCACAGCTCTGTGCGGAGTGTGGCCCTACGGCTGTGGGTCTGTCCTACTGTCTGGGTCCTCGGCCTGTGTCTTGGTGACTGTGATTCCTGGTGGCCTCTCGGACATGGCTGTGACGTCTCCCGAGCTCGGGTGGCTCACGGTGGCTTTCTGCGTCTCGGTTTCCCTCCTGCCCAGCGTGACACCTGCCCAGCGCAGTTGGGGCGGGGCTGCAGAGGGCTCAGGTTCCGTCCAACCCGCCGCCCCCTGGGCTCTGCTGCCCCTCAGCCCAGTGCGTGGGCCTCCCTCACCCGGGCTCCCCTCCACCCTCAGTTCCTGGCCCCCAGAACCTGAGGTGCATGCGCTCCACCAAGGCCCTGTCCCAGCTGTCCTGAGCAGGGGTGTGTGGGGCACAGTGCTGTCACAGACGGTGGCTCCCAGGGCAGCCGATGCGTCTGTCAGTGCCTGGACCCCAGAGGCCGCCAGCCTGCCAAGCACCCCGTTCTCTCCTCCAACCTGCACACAGACGAGTCAGCCTCAGTGAGCTCCCAGCTCCACCTCCTTCTTCCTGTCCAGGACCCTAGGGGTCCACCCCCGGGAGGAGACGGGGCCTGGCGCGAGGCCCTCAGTCCACCTCTGGCCTGCTCTACCTTGTGTGCTGGGGACCCCTCCCAGGGCTGCAGGGTCTCCCCCTCCCCAGCTCCTGCCTTTCCAGCCGCGGGGGCCGGGAGGTGAGCGGCATCTTGGCCACACACGGAGGGTCCTGTGGTGAACGCCAAGGGTTTGACGCATTTCTCAGTGACAACCAGAAGGACCTGGTGGCTGGTGGCTGTCAGTTGAGAAGTCAGGGACCTCGGTTCTCAGGGGTCCAACTGGGGACCCAAGGGATCATCCAGCGACCAGTAAGTGGACAGGAGACACGAAGTCTGCCCTTGCTGTTTGCATGGGGCTCTTCTGGGGCTGCAAGGAGCGCCGGGGCGTCACGAGCGTCACAGCCGCACAGCTGTGTGCTGGTCAAGGCCCCCGAGGGGGGAGGCTGAGGCAGACACTGGGTTGAGCCCCGGAGGTCAGATGGGCTGCTGGTGGGCACTGCCCAGCGAGGGGGCCTGTGGGGACAAGTGCTGCCGCCCGCTGCAGCACGGGGACTTCCTGCACCAGGGAGCACYGAGTCCTGCTAGAAACGTCCACCTCACAGCCCTCCGACAGCCCTCCAGCCACCAGCCAGGGGCAGCGGGACTGTGGGCTTCTCTGCTCCAAGCTCTGGTCAGTTGTGCCTCCCTCACGGGGCCAGGGAAGGGTGCGGGGGTGTCGGCTGCCCACGCAGGCCCAGGGCCTTTACGAGCTGAGTGCACCTCGGAGCCAACAGCACACGGAAGCCAACGAGGGCTCGCGTCCTCACCACAGGGAAGAGGGTGCTGCAGGCCAGGCAGGGAGCAGTATAAAAGCCCCGCAGCCCGGGCTGCCCACACTCACCCACACACTCACCCACACTCACCCACACACCCACCCACCCTCCTCCAGCACACCCACCATGGCCGCCTCCACCATGTCCGTCTGCTCCAGCGACCTGAGCTATGGCAGCCGCGTCTGCCAGCCCGGCTCCTGGGATTCCTGCCCCGACTCC